AGGGGAGAAGTCCTGGCAGTAGACAACAATATTGATAGGTCCCCAGCACTGAGAGTCTTACAGGTGAGACAAAACAAAGGCTCTGGGCACTGAGAGTCTTACAGGTAGGAACAGAACAAAGGCCCCAGGCACTAAGAGTCTATGGGTGAGGGAAAAAAAATCCTGCACAGCCCAAAATGTCTACTCTCTGGCCCTTTCCAGGCAGTCTGTAGACTCCTGGTCTGTAATCCAGATCAGCCCTATGACAATCACCCCTCACTAGTCCTAGTCTCCTCTGATGGGCGTGCGGTTCTCTCTCTTTCCCATCACCCTCTTTGCTTGGGTAACTGGGCTCTACCTTCAGGGGCCACCTGTACATACCTGCTGTTTTGGTCACTTCAAACTCCTCGTTTTTCAGGGGAACATCGCTTTCTCTTTCGAAAGCAGCTTTAGACTGAAAGGGGACAAGCGAGAACTTTATGAGAGCCACTCTAATCAGGAGGGAAAATAACTGTGTTTGCTTTCTGGTGAACACAGACAAGAGCCACGCTCGTTTGCTAAGAGGCGAGTGTTACACATAAGAGGGAATCCAGTAGAAGCTGGTTTGTTCATCTACTTAGGAGACTGTCAGCTAGCTTATTACACTTCGTGCCTCCACTACAAATTCTTTTGTGTGAAGAGTTTTCCCCTCAACACATGTATTTATTTCTCAAGCTTCAACTTCCTGTGATGCTCCATTTCCATACAGAGCCAAGAATCCAACAGTGTGCTATCAGTGCAATGCTGAGATGCCCGTAAGTGTTGCTTCTGAAATATGAAAACTAACAGAAACCAACTCTCTTCTTTAGGCAGCCTCTTCAAAGCAATAACTGGATTAGGATAGAATAGGCCACCTCGGTAGCTCCTGAGGTGAAAACATTTCTATCACCGCAATTACTTTAGCAAACCTGGTTCCCCTTGCTTCTGCAACATCATGCAGAGCTAGTGATCGAGTTTGCAAGGGAAGACCTTTTCAGTAGTTGATATTAAGGAACTCTGGCAGCACGGTGCCTAAGGCATTTGACTGCTAACCAGGTCAGCAGTTCAAATCCACCAGCTGCTCTGCGGAAGGAAGGAAGAGGGGGCAAGCTACTTCCATAAAGATTTACTGTCTCGAAAATCCAATGGTGGTCACTATGAGTCGGAATCGACAGCAGTGAGTTTGATTTTTTTTTTTGGCATGTGTTCCAAGGGCAATGTAAATTACAGTATGCAAAAGGTACTGACTGGCTGAAGTCAAACACGA